GGGGGGTCTCAACGTCTTGAAACAACAATGCCCAAAGGTGTCATGATAGAAGACAAGATATGGCAGGGGGGGCCCTGGCTACCGTCCCATGAAAAGAAACACTCTTGTAGCTGAGCACCCAAGCCTGACTGACTTAATATTAGTTAAATATGTAGACGTTGTACGAGATTTCCAAGGACCGTGATGAATGTACAGACCCATGTTTCTTAAGTATTATCCTGGAGTGGGGCACATTAAGACCAGGAGGTTGATGCAGTGGGAAAGAAAAGCAACAATGGTGGCATCCTGAGGGTAACTACTGCAGTTAAAGACAAAAGGACAGAATGGTGGAGACATGCTGAGGTGGGGTAATCGCAAAGCATTCTCTGCAGAGGACTGTTCCCAAATGCCTGGTCACGGAAAACAACAAAATAAAATCAGTCCAGCCTGAAAGGACAGGCCAGAAGCCGGAAGTAACTGCTGAAAGCAGGGTCAGGAAAGGAAGGCAGAATGAGGATCCCAGCCCTCAAGAACGAGAATCTTTGCCCCAAGCCCTCGCCAAAAAAAGAATAATAATTTCATCTAATAAAAAAACAAAAAAAAAACCCAAAGGATTTTCAAAGTTGGTAAGTTGTAGGTATAAAAGACCTCACCTGCCAGCCTTTATCAGCAGTCCTGTAATACGGGTAATGCTTGGTGATATGGGCGTAGATGCCACTTAGTGTTAATTGCCTGTCCTGGGCTGAGGATATGGCCTGCACAATTAGCTGAGCATATGAATATGGTGGTTTGGACTCATCCTAAGAAAGAATGGACAACAGAATGTTAGTCACTTCACAGTAAGACTTACGCTAGAGTTCATCCACAAGCCAGATAAAAGGAGAAAGACACCTTCATAGGCACCATTAAACATTCTGCCAAACAACAATGTTCTTTTCATAAACACAAACCAACCCATTCTGCTTCTAGGCCCCCTCCATTCACCCTCCCCAAGAGAGGTCCCTGCCCTTTCTAACACTTGAAATTTGCCAGGTTTATTTTATTTCTAGTTCCTCACGTTGCTTCTCGATGAAAAACGTAGTGATCTTAAGGGATGGTTCAGTAAGAATGATCATTCAGTGCCACAATCTCTGACCGAGTCGCTCTCTCTCTGTCATCAGAATGCAGCTCCCTCCTTATCACTCACTTTTCTTGCTTGTTGTTAAAATCCTAGAATTTACCCACCCTGCTCCCCTTCCCTCCTGGTCCTGGACAGCAGGCCTCTCCTTCTGCCTGGCTTAGCCTGCACATTGTTCATAGCAGGATTTCCACCTTCCCCTTCCTGTCCTCCCTCAAAGTACTTTTCAAAGTGCTGTATACGGTGGTAAACCTCTTACATAAAAGGAGAAAAGAAGATTTTTTTTGGTTTTAATGCTCTTGTAATATAGCTGCCCAGGGGAAATCTGTGCCTGTGGCTTCATACTTTTCCTGTCAAAAAGACTCGAAAGGTTGAGTTAGTGGCGTTTAAGTGAATGCAGTAAATACGTCTGGGAAAACTAAAATGGCAGGAGGTATCATCTGAGAGCCCACCGCCAACTAACAACATGAAGGGGCACGTCCACTACCCCAGTGAAAATGTACATCTTTCATTTGGGTTTGTACTTTTTCCCCTCCCCAGCTCTAGTCAGTCCGGGCAGCACTCAAACTGCTTCTTCAAGAGCCCTGTGGGGTAAGCAATGTTTCTCTGAACCTTTGGGCTGTCCCCGCCAGATGCATCTGCCTGCTGTTCCGATGCTGCTTTTGCGGCGTATTCTGCTGCCAACTGTAGGTCCGAGGTAATGTTCTGAATGAAGCGATAGCCTGAGGACCCAGCACCACGGGGACTGGCCGGACAGGAGTTGGGAACACTGCGGGGAAGGAAGAGGAGAGAGAACGTCAATCCATCTGCAGTTATTTATTACCAGCAATCAACAAGCATAGGTATAACTCCTAGCTTTTAAAGACCCCTCAGCAGTTTACAATTAAGCCTCTACATCCCCAGAGCCTATTCTTTTTCATTTGGGTTACCCAAACCTTACAACATGGTCTCATTCAAGGTGATAAAACAAGGCCGTGACAGATGCAGGCTTGATTCCTGACTCCATCACATTCACATCATGAGACCACACACAGCTTCAAAGCAGAAAGCACGGTGCCTTCTCTGTGCAGCCAGCCCAGGACTTCACTGAAAACCAAATGCTGTGTCAGAGCTTAGTTCTCCCAAGTATCTAAGTTACAAAAGTAATTAGAGACCTTACACTCCAGTCATAAAGCTGATTAATGCTATTCTCTGTCTAGTGATCACTCCATTTTTCTGCTTTGCAAGGGCTGCTTCCTTTTACAATGTCATGGTTAAAACCACCATGGCAGACGCCTGTATTGTAACAGCAGCACGAGTTCCTGAAAGCTGTACCACAATGGCAAGGTTAACGAAAGCAGCTCAACCCAGATACCTCTGAGGACCATCCGTCTTTTTAAACCACCAGCATACAAACCCTATTAACAACTAATGGGAATTGCAGGCATAGAGAGCATGCAACATGCCAGCATCTTTGCAGGGAGGAAAGACAAAAATCAGCATTCAAGGACTGCCGCAAGGTGGCAATACAAAAACAGCTATGAAGCACAAAGAGCCATGCTAGGACTGGTAAAAGGGCACAAATAAACAAAGGCTGGGCTAATTTGCAGCCCCACTCAGATGCACAGAAGTGCATACTGCAGACAGGGAACTAATCAGCAAGACTTGTCTGGGGATCATGTATCCTTGATTTGTCAGAGGAAACCTGAAGCATCACTCTGTTGCAGCCCATTCCCCCCCCCCC